CTCAGATCTGTTTTGAAGCTAATTAGGCGGCGACTGCTAAGTGCGTATTAATAATGTAGTTTCAAGTGTAAGAACAAATGAAAAATGTGTGCGGATAAACATTAAAGGTATAAGGATAAAGGTCCCACAATAAATTCCTTAAGGTGTGCATCACCTACCGCCGCTCCCTTCCAACTTTAGTGGCACCCCTCCGATGCCCATTAACTATTTAGGGAGTGACAATAAAGGGGCGAACATGTCCATAGCCGAATGGCCAAGGAAGAGTCTTTAAAGTGACTTTGGACCTTGGCATTTAAAAGTTTGGACCAACTTTGGACCGCTCCCGCTGCCTCTTAATCTCATCCCATTTTCTGGCGCTTTGTTAATCTGCCAGACGCACTCCCCCGCTGTCCCTCCTCTGCTTATCCCTAGAAGGACACGACTTTTGTTGTTATTGCTGTTTATGTAGCGGCGGCGTCTGCTTTGTTTGTCAACCGATTAAGTTGTAATTATGCGATGCTACGTGTCCAAAGAAAATTCTTGGAATGAGTTTCCGTATGGGTTTACATTTTTTGTGTACCCTTGTTGGAGCAGAGAGGGAGAACTTTCGATATCTAAAAGGTTTTTTATGCTTCATTATAATCCTAAAGCTATGCCGTGACACACAATGAATTATAGAGGGTATTCACAGCTTCGTTCCCTCAAGAGTAACCTTCCTTGGGCTGCTTCACTTTTGGTTTTGTTGGCGAGAGTTTTGCTGTGGCTCTGTCGGCGCTTTCCTCCAAGGAACGAGTTGCGTTGGTGTTGCCCTCCAAGGAGTTGGCCCCACAGACTGGCGATTATGGTTAGCGGCGTCTAATGAGTTGGCATTAATGGGTGGGGCATTCACCTGCCTCCCAGATAGAAAGAGTGAGAGTGAGAGTGAGAGAAGTCGGGGAGGCAGAGTCAAATGCAATGAGGCGAAGGTGCGAAAAGCAGAGCACAAACTGGGATTATTTCAAGTTGTTTAAGAGTGAAGGAGGAGGGACAGGACAGACAAAGGAAGGAGGCTTATTACATGCCAGTTAGACCGGAATGAAAAGGCCAAGAGAGCAGCACAAAAAGACGAAAAGGAAGAGCAGTAAAATAGCAAAAGGAATAAGGAAAAAATAACCGATTCGTCGAAGGGAAACACTTAAAAAAGAAAGAAGTTCAAGAGTCGGAAAGAGAAAGAACCAACAGAAAATTCTCCATAAAAAGGATGGACCAAAGAAATTAAAGCACCGATGAAGAGGAATCCAAAAGGAACACCAAAAACACAAGAAAAACAGTGACTGGGGGAAAAAACGAAGCTGGAGGAATAGTAAGTCAAACTGGAGAAATCAAAAGAGTAAAACAGCAGGGAACCCTGTAGCAGTAGAGAGATACAATGCTAAAGGGGGGAACAAAAAATATAAAAAAAACTCAAAATGGAAATGCGATTTGTGTAGGCTCGAGCCAAGGCATCCCCATTCTCAATTAGAAAGTGAGTTTCTGTTGCAGATGTTAATGAAGCGGAAAACGTATGTGTCATGGGAGAAACAAAGAAGCTATTTTCAAGCATAAATTATAGCATACTTTGTGGGGCAAGCGAATGAAAGCAATAAGCAGTAAGTAAATGCTAAATGTTTATCTATAAATTTGTTTTGTGCATTTCTAAACTTGCCACAGCATCTTCGTGGCTACGTGGCTGCATAGCCCAAGGGGCATGCCCTCTCACATGCTCAACTAAACGGCAGCATGAAAATCCGATTGTCAATTATTGAAATTATTCACATCAAAACGCATTGAAATGGTACTAAAACCAACACGGGTATTTGCACTCAAATCAAATCAAAGTCTCACCTTTGTGCTGGCCTGCGAAGGTAAATAAATAATCGAAAGCGCATTAGCAGGTGGAAAATGTTGGATGGGTCTCACATTTGGGCAAACAATTTGGTTTTTCAGTTCATTTTGTTGACTCTTTGGGCCTGAGGATGTGGGCTGGGTGTGTGTTCCCCGTCACGTATCCCATATTAAGATATCGCTTCAGTCATATCCATTTTTAATGCGCTAATTTTTCGGCAATATTCAGCGGTAATCTAACAGCGCGTGACGCAGACACAGGTGGCACGTTGTACCATGTCGCATCTTCCTGCTGGCTGTAGCTCTGCTCTTTCAGTCGGATTTCCGTTTGTTGTCGAGCCTCTGCGACTTTTATCGCTGCTAATATGCCACGTCACCTGCAAGAGCGGAAAGCGAGAGACTGCCAAGCGTAAAAATTACCAAAGCCGGAAGACAAATGCAGCCTTGAGGCCTCGGGGCCACAATCAGTAATGGAAAGAGTCGAGAACAAGCCAACAATTCAAGTAGTTTAAAAAGGGCAACTCCTACGTGATATGTTTTCTTAGCTCTATGGAAAATTATGGTTTGACAACTAATTTCAAAGGGAAAAACAAATTGTTAAGCATATGAAAATAATCCACTCACATAGCTGCCGCATGGCGAAACTTTTCTGGGGAATCTTTTAAGCTGCAACAGAAACTGAAAAGTATTTCAGGTATTTTGGGGCACGTCTTAACGCGCAACTATTTAAAGCTGCTCTTACATAATTAGTTGTGCTTCAACTTTTGTACTTCTTTTTTTTTCTGTGGCCTGAAGGGAGGCGTGGCATGTGGGATTTATGGTGGGTTCTGTTAGCGATTTTGGAGGGGTTTTTGTGATGGTAGCTATGGGCAGTAGTAGCTCTTCTATCAATACTAACTTATATTCAATTAAATTGAAACGTTTCAATAATACAAAAGTGTATTTACCTCACATTTCCTCCTAATGAATGCTTAATTGTTGCGATTTGCTTATTTAGTTAGCTAATGAAGAGCCCGTTAATACGTGTGCATGTTTAGAGATCCCCAACACTTATCAGAAGGTCAATAAACCTCCTCAATATCCGAAATGCAATCACGAATTGCCCAAAAATAAAAGCAGCCGCAAGTAGCATGCAAAAGCGTACCAATGTTAAGTTAACAGCAGCTCAGTGTCCGCTTACAGAGCGCCCAGAGCTGTTGCGTCGCTGCTTTGACTTCGGGTCGGTCTTCGGCTGCCAAGCAGAGCTCCACTGTGCTGCCTGCTGGCTGCTGCTTTCAGTCACCTGCTTGGGTTTCAGCGCGTCGCAACGAAGCGGCAGAGTCGAGGTTGTCGTTAGAGAGAGTATGTGAAAAGCGTGTGAGTTCTGAGTCAAAGAGCGTGCCGCGTACGGTTGTTTCTTTCCCTCAAACATTTGTGTGTTCCCTGAACCCCCAGCCCTCTCCTAACCATCTTAGCCATTGTGTGTGTTTATGTGTTGGTGTTAATTTTGCATGTGTTTTTTTGTTATTTTAAAATCAAACACACAAAAAATAGAAAAAAAATAAACCTATCCTGTTTCAGAACCTGTTTTTTGTTCCACACAACAATCTTTGGGCTCTGTTCTATCTAATGCTCTTTGATTGAACTCGATTCGAAGAGCAGCGGCAGCAGCGGGTCTCCAGCTCCGGCTCCGGCTCCAAGAGGAATTTTAAACGCGCGCCGTGACGTCGTCGTCGCCGCAGTCACAGTCTCAGTCACCGGTACCCGTCTCTCCTCACCGTCTGCTTCTCAGCACCGTATCAATAGAAGTTTTTTCATTTGATTTACCGTTAGCGGTCTGCCGCTACCACTGCCGCCGCTGCGTTCTAGCACTGTGCTGACTTTTTAAGATACCCTGGCAGTGGCATGGAATGATGATTTTGGAAATATTTTGGAACCCATGAACGTTTTTGCATCCACTTTTGACTGAATAAATAATTACTTTCTGAATAAAATATTTTGAAACTATCCATAGAAAAGGGTCTACAACTAACTAAGTATTTTGCTCCATAAAATATTCCCAATGCCCAAAATCACATGACAGTTTTCTGATTTGCCAAGGGTATCAAAAACTTTGTACCACACAACCCATTTTTATTACTACCATGTTCTCGAGTGGGCAGCGCCAACGAAGCGTGCATCTCTGTGTTTAGAAAGCCACTTGGCAGGTCCCAGACTCAGTCCCCAGTCTCCGTCTTTCGCTCAACCCATCTTTGGGAGGCACCGCGCTTGGGGTCTGCTCTTAACAAAAAATAAATAAAAACCAGTAGAATCAAAGCAGAAGAAGGCTTAATTAAATTTACAGAAAACTTGGCTCGAAAACTGTCTGTAGACAAATACATATTGAATACATACACATATACATGTATATGTATAAAGCCAGACGTTATAGATTGACCGACTTCTTGTGGCGAAACCGAAACGCCGTTAATTGATTGGGTTCTGGAAACTGATTTTATGGACTTTTGTTGGTTGCTTGTTGCTTACAATGTGGAAAGAAAAATATACGGGCTGAAATCAAATAAATATTGGCTTGACCAAATAAATAAATAAATGCATTGATTTGCCATTTATATGGTTATGTTTGACTACTTTTTCAACGAAATAAATGGCTAAACAAAAAAGCCTCTTTTCCACAAATAAATCAATATGTGAAGTGAAATTCCAACCCTTTCTGAAATATTCACCCGAAAAATAATCAAATTGAATAACAAAACCAAAACAAGAAACATTTCAATTCGTTATAAAAACATGTGGCCCCAAAGAGACAGCATTTCACATTTATCGCTGGACGGCTGGCAATCATAATTATTATTCGTGGCATTCCAGGCCCAGTTTTCATTCATTTATTCTCGGTTCGTTGGGGGAAAACCACACGAAAACATTCCAGCCAACGGGCAAACAGGTTGCCGTAAAAAACAGCTGAAACCAGAAGGAAAATAAAAAATCAAACACGTGTGCACGGGAGAACGGCGGAAAAGGTTAACGAGGACACCAAAAATAAAACAACATTTTTTATCTAACAGAATAAAAACAAAACCAAATTGAAGAATCGCACGGAAGCTGAAAGCCAATAATTATAAAACAACAAAAAAATAATAATAAAAACTTTTAAAATATGTACAGCTGATACAAAAATATAGGCTACAAACGACCAAAAATATTCCTTTAAAAAACCCATAAAAAAGAACTGAAAGTACCCAAAAATAAAATAGAAACCACTATAAAAAAGGAGGAGAACCAAAGGAATTTTCAAGCGCTTGGCATTTTGTCAACCCGTAAAGGGTCCCCCCCCCCTCCGAAAAAAAAGAGTGGAAGAAAGAGGGAGAGAGAGCCGCACAAGTGGCTGCAACAAAAGGGCTACCTACCACCGAACGAACCTCGACCACGCGACCACGCGGCCCCTCTGGAAAACGAAAAACTCAGGCCGGAAAACGCTTGTTTCGACACGTGAGAGGAACAGCACGGCAGAGTGTGTGGCTGCAGCGGCAGCGGCAGCAGCAGCAGCAGGAGGAGGAGGTGCACACAGAGAGGCCAAACCGAGGCTAGTGACAAGAAACAACAACAAAACAAACAGGTGAGAAAAGGAGAACCCTGCATGAATGAATGTGTGCCTGTGGGAGAGAGAGAGAGAGAGAGAGAGAGCCTGAATGAATGGAATCCAGCGCCAGTGCAAGAGCGGTGCGGGGCGGTAGTGCGGTGTCGCGGGGTGCGATTGAGTGATTGAAACTGATAAAGAATAATAAAAAAAGGGCTTTGGCTCTGCCTGAGGATTTTCCCAAACAATTCAGAATACCCTGTCAACGTAGAGAGGAAGAGTGTGATGAATTGTTGGCTGATTACAAATGGAAAATAATGTTAAATTATTGTATGCTTCTTAAGATTCCATAAACAAATTAAGAAAAAAGTGAAATATTTTTAACAAAAAGTAAGGTTTGGTATCATAATTTTGTGTTAATTGTAAAAGAAATATTAACCGTACCGAAATCCACTGGGTATCCTCAGTTGGAATATCGATGGGAACTTTGTTCTTTCATGTTCCTTGTTGTTTTCCTTCCATTTCCCCCAACCACTCCCACTCTCATTGCATGGTGTCAGGGAGAATTCTGCTCAATAAGCAATTAATATGCACAAGTGTCTGCCCGTCGCGAGAGGGTTGCCGAATTGAGTTCCTCTGTTCGTTCGGTGGCAGCCCGATATCTCCGAGCGGAAATGGTCTCGGGTTTGGGTTTTGTCAGAGTCTCTGTTGTGTCTGTCTATCTGTCTGTCTGTTTGTGTGAAAAAGCGGGGAAAAAGAAACACCCAGCGTGGCGCATTGTTTCGGGTTTCCCCGGCAGTGTTAAGAGCTTAATTTAATATCAAAAAGGTTTTTCAACTTGATGGAAATTGAGTTTGGTTTTGTCGTGAAAAATGCAGACACAACAAAAAGTCATTGCCAATATATATTGAATAATGAAATCCAACGCTTTGTAGCTGTGAATCTTTAAAAAATTCTATCAATATAATTGGAGATGATTTCTAAATAAATAAACAAAGGTTTTAAAGACTGATTTGATGTATTTTTTCTAGCATTTTAAATTCAGCTAAAAACACCTTAATCATATCCCAAATAAATCTTTACAGTTCAGCCGAAACCCCAAATTTGATGTGCCGCTTCTCATGAAATTTAAGAATATTTTTCCACCAGTTTGTAAAAATCTCTATGCAGCATTTTGAGCGTGCTCGCAGAGCAGCCATTTTCATTAATTTCATGACAAATCTTGTTCTATTATCTCAATTGAAATTTCCCTTTGAGTAATTTGAGACCAAATTTGATTCAGATTCTCTTCTTGACGGTGGCTCCTATTTTCCCGCTGTTGTTTCTCAATTTCTGCGTTGGCCCTGAGTCACGACTTTAACTTTAATCTATTGCAATTTATATTTCTTTTTGTTGGAAACTGCAAATATCCCGAAACGTGCAAAGACAAAGAACTATCAAGCAGTGGCGTAGTCAGAGGGTAAGAGGGGTAAGAGTCAATGTATAGCACCCAAGAATTATATGGAATTATTATACGAATGACCTACCTTTGGCCTAACCTCTTGGTCTTGTGGTTCTCTGTTTCCCTTATATCCCAGAACTGTGGAGCACATTAAATGTTTATTTTAACCCCTTTAATCGCAGACCCATCTCCACTAAGCCTCTGGAAAACTCTTCTGTAGGAACTTCCCCAAGTATCAACTAAAGTTAACCCGGAAAAGTTGCCAAAACGTCAGAGGGAATGCCAAAAATACGCAAAATAAAAGCTAGAGAGATAGGGGAGGACTAGAGAGAAGAACGAAAGAAAAACGAAATTCGAAAAAGAAAAACAATGCCACAAAAGGGCACAAATAATGCGCTCCGTATTGTTGGAGTCAAGTAGAATCCCCGGCTCCTGTAACCGTCGCCGACTACACCAAACTTGCTACTACCATCGCTCTTACCATCTCTCTAAACCACGTCTCTGCCGTTGCGTCGGGTCTCTTGTGAAATATCGCACTTTGCTTATAGAAATTGTTATCTATGCTGGAAATAGAAATTCAGGAAAAGTCCAAATAAACCAAAACACAAACAAAAAGTGGAAGGGAGAGAGAATAAACCAAAGCGCACACACAAAAGTAATGTGAAACACAATAAAAGTGTCTAACTGTATGAAGAAATGAAAGTCAAAATGGTAAGGGCAAGGTGGGGAAGGCAGAGGCAGCGGCAGATGCTGAGCCACCTTCTTTTCTCTCTCTCCCCAGCCACCGTGTGTTCAGTAGTTTATGTGCCACTCTTCGCACTGAAGCATCATCTTTGTTGGCTTCATTAGCTGCCTCAATGACTTTCTTTCTCTTCGGACTCTCGCATTCGTTCTTTATTATTCTCTTTCGTTGATCTTGATAGTGAACTCGAAAATATTTCGAAAAGTGCTAAAGCATGAGTCATGGAGAGGGGCAGGCAGAGGGTAGCTCCTCTTCTCTGGTGTTTAAGAAGAAAGCGTGCAAATTGTGGTTTCTAGGAAACTGGGTGCCAGAATACCAGCCTACCAGCCTATGAGAGATCCACCACAGTGGCTGATATAGTAATTACTGAAGAAATACATACATACGTGTAATTGGGGAGTTAATATTTGAGCTTCGACAGTGAGGAATGCCTTAATGGCAGTGGAACGTTTAAGCTATAAATTACAGTGGAGCTTCTTTAGTTGCAACTAATGTTACGATGGGTAGAAACGACATCTAGGCTGTTTGCACGACCTGTGCCACCTACTTTTAACCACAATCCATCTTCACTCATCTCCACAACCTTCAAGACACTCCCATCTTTTTTTAGTTGCAACTCCAAATGTCTGTGCCGTACAAGGTAATAACCGAGTTTGGTTATATGGCCCACAAAAGCCAGAAGACCACTTCCTCTTCTCTGTCAAAATCTGTTACTACATCTCCCACTGTTTCCCCTTCTGCCACTCGGTGATAGTTCAATTATGATCGGTGAGGGGAGTCTGTGTCAGGAAACATCTCGAAGGGTAAGCGGAGAACTGAGAGCAGACAAAGCTAATGAACACCGACTGAATGGTAAGTCAAGTGGGAAGAAGACAGGGCTCATCATAATGATGATGATGATGATTAAGTTGAATGGGAAAACGAAGGCAAGTGCAAGTGCAAGAGCGGGAGAGACACAGCAGGAGAGGAGATGAATGTACGAGCCAGAGCAGAAAAGGTTCGGGAGAGTGCATACCAAAGCGGGAGACGGCGATGGATGGGCAGAATGCAAGCGCGAGGGGGAAACGGTGTTGGAGGGGCAGAATGTAAGCGCGAGCGGGAGAAAGAATACAAATGAGTCGCGGCAATGAACTCCAAAGAAGAAATGCAGACTCACACACACACACAAACAAAAGAGTGGAAGGAGGAGAAGATGAAGAATGCATAACTTACAAAAATAGGGTGAACTTGGCTTAAGAAGTCGAGTTTCTGATGCCCTTTAACAATAAAAAGTTACTATGGTTCAGCCGCATAAACAATTTTTCGGACATTTTTTGACGGACAGACGGATACAATACACTATCCACTTAGCTGCTGGTCTGATAGAGAGTTGGGTTAGCAACATACTCTCATCACTCTTAACATTCATCATACCCTCTTTCCAAGAGTATCATAAGCCTGCCAAACACAGAGAGCAGACCAATGCAGAGCACACAGAATGCAGTCTTCGCTCTGCCGCTGTCGCTGTCGCTGTCTCTGGCACAAGCACACTGCCGCTAGCTTTGCAGTTGCAGTTGTCAGTGGCATCATTATACCAACAGAGATTTTTGTTGGCCTATTAGGAGGAGTAGAAGAAGGATGGCGCCACTGGCTAAGAAAAAAAAAGAACTGTATTTTCTTTGCAGCTGCAGAATATTGTTAGCTGAAGGAGCAGCGTAGCAGCCGCATTGCATCTGTTTTCGAAAGCAAAAGAGGGAGAGCGAGCCGCACCAAGCGCACAAGAGAGAGAGCAAGGGAGAGAGAGGTCATTCATCCAGCGTTTATCGCGTTAAGGCTAGGCCTGGACCCAGGCCCGTCCGCACCTCCTCCCGCTAGATGTGGCACTTTATTAACATATTTCTCACTCGCTCGCCGCTGCCGCCCTCTTTCTGGTTTCTTTAGGTATTTGTTACTGTTGTTCGTTGGTTATCGCTTCTCCCGCTCATTCTTCTGGGCCAGCCTTTACATTATTTTCATTCTGCTTGCAAGTGTGGCTGTGTTTGTTGTTGCTTCTTCTGCTATTTGTTTATGTTTTTAGCTAGAGTTCTTGTGGTTCTTGTATTTGTTGTTGGATCTACTTGTATGCATATGTTGCTGTTACTTTTCTTCTTTATTTGAATTCCGTTTAGGAGCCCCATTAGTGGCAGGGTATATCCTAAAATTAAATAGAATACATACATTTCAAGGTGCACTTAGGGAGCGCCTTTAGTTTATTAAAAGTTGTGATAGATTCACTTTTAGCTGCACCTTCACCCCGGCCCTTACCTAACCCACTTTGAAGTGCGTAAAAAGTTTTCGAAGAGTATTCCCCAGCCGACTCAGCTGCACTGCTGCCTGCTCCTCCGCCCGTTCTCTTTTTGAGGTTTTATGCCGTCCTTCGCTTACCCAGCAGTGGCTGCGAGTGTAAGAGCAGGGGTGGGGGCTCCTGCTGGGACCCTCTCCTGACCAGTGCTCCTCTTTCTCTTTCTCTCCGCCTAAGGCTTCAGCTCTATGGCTATACGACAGTAGGACGCTTCTTTTACGGCTGCTGCTGCTGCTGTTGCTGCCGTTGCTGTTGGTGACGCTTGCTTTCATGCATTTCGCTCTTTTCCGCTCTCTCTCTCTTGCTTCCGATCCGGCTGAGTTTTGGCCTACAGTTTTTGGCCAGCAGGAAATGGCCGACATTAGACGAGAGGCCCTGGCACGTGTTTATGTTGCTTCGCCGTTATTTTATGCTGCACACTGTGGCAGGAAATGCGACAGAAAATGCATTCGCCAGTCGCCATGGAATTTCCAACATTTTCCCATACCGGAAAAACCGTTTTCCTCTACCTCTACCCCTCTTTCGCTTGGTCTTTG